GCTATATTAATTTGCAAACCTAATAAATATACTGATAAAAGTACAGAAAGAATTTGTAGGTATAATAGTGGAAATTATAAGGAGAAAGGAAATTTAAGTAGCATAGATGCAGAATTATTAGCTATTAATTATGCATTAGACAGTTTTGAACTATTTATTATATCTAAAAAAGAAATAACCATAAGAACAGATTGTGTAGCTATAGTTTCCTTTGTCAATAAAATGAAAATAGATTTAAAAAGAAGTGGTAGAAGAAGATGGTTAAACTTTATTGATAGAATCACTAATACAGGAATTAATATAGAATTTGAACATATTAAAGGTAGTGATAATAAAGTAGCCGATATATTAAGTAGAATAATAATAGATAGAAATTATTAAATTTGTTTAACATGATTTTTTTATACAGATGACAAGGCCAAGGCCTATAAGACCAGGAATTCCACCTGGGAATTCATTTGCATCAAGACTATTACCACAGACTCCATTTAATCAGAACAGACCAATGTTACAAGACAGGATAAGGTTTGGAAACCAAGAACTTATAGTATTTCCTAATAGTAATATTTCTTTTAAAATTTTACCACATATCTCTTTATCAAGAGAAGAGAAATGTATTTTAGACAATTTATGGATTTCTTATAATAAGAATCCAAAAGACCAAAAATATTTTCTTGCATGCATGAATGCATTATCAGAACATTTTAGTCAGAACAAGAAAATGTTTAAATTTTATATTGTTATTAAAGGAAGAACTCCAGGAATTTTCCATTCTTGGTTAGAAGTTTTAGATTGCATTAAAAATTTTCCAGAACCTCTTTATAAAGGTTTTACAAATTTTCAAGAAGCATTAGATGTTACAAGACAACAGATAGGAATAAATTTTTATTTATCTCCTTCTTTGAAAAATTACTCAGACCCTCCATTAAATTTTTCTCCAAGCAAAGATCAAAATATTTTCTGCCAACATTGTGAATGTATGCAGAGAAATTTCAAAGTTATCAATGAAGCCAATCAGAACCTTTCATTAGAAAGAACTCAACTTCAAAAGAAAGTGGCCCAATTAGAAAAAGAAATCTTGGATTTAAAAGTCCATTATCCAACAGGTACTATGGAGCCCAAGAAGTCCATAGCTAGTCCAACTCAAACGGTAGCTGGTAAAGACTTATCAAATCCGTTAAAGGTTGTGGACTTACCAAAAGCCCAACAGACTCAGGGGACTGTTGATTCCTCTACTAAATTAGACAATCAGACTCAGCAGACTGATAAATCTGCTACAGAAAAAGGTAAGGAGATTTGGGATCTCTTAGGACAGCCCAGTGGAAAATTTGATTATTTAGTCAAATATAGTCCACAGAACATTTTTCCTCAGAACATTTTTCAAATAACCCAGAACTTTCACAAGCCCAAGAATTTCAATCTAGTAAGGGAAAAGAAAAAATGGTAGTCCAAGATAGTCAAGAATGTTTATTTTTTCAAGAATCACAAGATCCTAATCCAGATACCGCTTCTTTAGAAAAGATCTTTGAGAAAATTGAAGAACTCCAAAAACAATCTAAAAAAGATGAAGGGACTTCTTCTAGAAAAAAGAAAAAGATTAAGAAGAAGAAAAATGATGAAGGACTAAAAGAACAAATAAGAGAAGCAGTTAACCAAGCATTCGAGACAATATTAAAAAAGAGCCATGAAGAAGAAAAAGAAATTGCAGAATGTCCAGATCAGAAAGAAAAAGATGAAGCCAGTAACTCCAGACTTTCAGATGAAGACGAAGATCCACATGAAGAAGGATACAATAATTCAGATAGTGGAATGTCATTTTCATCAGTGGCACGTCATAATCTCAGTACATAATTAGATCCTCAATAATGCAGAACAAGACAAAAGTGATGGAAGAAAAGAAGGAAAAGCTGAAGATTCTTATCACAATACTATAGACCTTTTGATTATTTTCAAAAAAGATGTCAGAAACTTTTAGAATTTTAAGCAAATTAGTGGAAATTTCAAGATTCCTAAACTATAGACTTTTAGACTTTTGTAAAAGTAGGAAATTTTCTTTCCACTTGTTAGACTTATCTTGAATTAGCCAGAAGTTTCTCGGTGAAACGTGTGCTCTTTTCAAGGATATTTTAGACTTTTTGCTCCCAAGAATTTTTCTATTTAAGGAACAAGTTTCATTTGGTTTAGGCAGAAGTTTACAACCTGTGTACTCTCTGCTATCCAAAAACCTTTTGAAACATTTCTCAAAAAAATTCTCAATCCAAAAAATCATTGTATAGCTGAATCATCCTTGTGAGTACTTAAGGTATTATTGTATTTCTTTAAGTTTATTTTAGAACTTTAGGGACTTCCCGAAAGGGAAATCCTTAATTGTAAATTTTTTTAAAAGATGAATTTATAAATCCCTGATTTATGTTTTATTAGTTTATATTCATATTTTTGTATTTATGTTTTAAGTAAATATCTGTTATGTTTATCATTTCATACTATGCATATAATAAAAGTATAACTTGATTTTTAAAAGCCATACTATTTTTAGGTTAATCCCGAGTGACCCAGATGAATGAAAACTTTTGGCCGGAGTGAGCCTTTTTGATATTTTCTAGAGATGCTGGGGAAAGGGAAAAAATTAATCTAAGAATTTTATAAGGGCGTGTCACGGGTAACCTTATAAAAAGAAATCAGGTTCAAGTTTATATGTCATAGGTGGTGAAAATTTAAATGAAAAAAAAGGGATTTATACACGATTCTTAAGAAAGATTTATAGAAAACTAAGGAGAGTACTGAGTAGGATTGAAGCTATTAAAAGTTAAACAGCCATCTTAAAACAGCATACCCCCCCCCCCCATTTTGTATATATATATACACGACTTATTAGATAAAGTTTTGGAGATCTTGAAAGGATAAAAAAATGAGCAAAGAGTAAGTTCAAATAGGAAATTAGTGAGGTGCTGATACCAAGGGCCTATGTGTCGACACCTAGCACTCAGTAGGGGTTTCTTGAATTTTTTTTGGGGAAGTAGTACATGTACATTATTGTATACATAATGCTGTCCATAATCACACATGTACATAATTGTATATATAATGGGGTTTCTTGAATTTTTTTTGTCTAGGTGGCAATATCTAAAACTGATAGTATGGATATCTGATTGTGCATACAAATATTTTTCAAAAAATGACTTTTGTCGGGCATGTAACTTAATTTCCTTATAGGAACCAGAGTCTATCATATATGAAAAACTTTATATTATATGATTCAATAGAATAGATGAAAGAACGAAATTTGAGATTTTTTACCTCTAAGGAAATTTTCTATTTTCTATGTTATTTCCTTTTCCTATCAGCAGCAAGTACAAGTCTGTGTATATGTGTGTTTTGAAGAGATTTCATAAGTGTGAGGAGCTACGGCTTATACCTTTTACACACAAAAAGGATAGAAAGAAAGAGAAGTAGAGATTATCTCTATGGATTTAAATTGGCATTTAAGAATATTTAAATTTCAACTTGGAGAGCTCAAGTTGTTGGTCGAATTACTTAATCACAAAGGCTAACATTTTCTAATACTTTGTCATCTCATGTTCGTTGTTGATTTCGGTGGGTTGATTAAGGTCATAAGGTCAAGTTGCTAGTCCTTTGCCAAAAATTGTCAACTAGAATGAAAGTTATGCATGACTAAATATAAACATATGCCTAAAAATAATTATGGAATACAAAAAAGTATAGAAGATAATGTCGAGTTCTTGGGGCGTTACACAACAAATTTAATGTGACACGAGATGAAGATGTATTTGGACTCAATGTTATAACACATTGAGCATTCTGAGTTAGATAGTAAACAAAAAAGATTCATGGATGGGATTGGTTTTCAAGTTATTGTCGGACACTACAAAAAATGGCATTTTACAACATTTAAATGGCAACATTCACCAATTGTATGTTGCTAAAAGAGGTTTATTGCAACATTCAGCAAATGCATGTTGTTATTGGTTGAGAAAATTAAGATTTAGCAACGTTTTTTGAGTAGTTGTTGCTAATAACCCCTTTCGCAACGTTCAAAGACCGTTGTTGTTTTTTTTTTTTTTTTTTTTTTTTTTTTTTTATTTGCAACGTGCATTGACCATTGCTATAGATGTTTTAGCAACGTTTAAAGAATGTCGCCGTTAATTACTTTTGGCAACGTGCATTGCCCGTTGCAAAAAATTGTCAACGACAACGTTCATGAATGTTACCGTTAACAAGTTTTTGCAACAGGCAATGCACGTTGCTGTATATATTTTAGCAACGCTTATTGAACATTGTCGTTGATTTGTTTTAGCAACGTTCAAAGAACGTTGCCATTGGTTTGTTTTAGCAACGTTCATTGAACGTTGAGGTTAAGTATCTTTGGCAACGTTCTTTGAACGTTTTCATTAATTTCTTCGTAGTAAATTGACTAAATTCAACGTTAAATATAAAATCATACAAAAATCCAAACCGACCCGGACCCGATCCTGTTAGTTTGGTATAAACTCAAACTAGCCCTAATTTCTTCCCCCTCTCTCACTCTCCCGCCATCGTTCTCACTCTCTCCACCATCGCTCACTCTCCCCGCCAACGTTCTCACTCTCACTCCCAATTTCTTCCCCCTCTATCTCGCTTTGCAATCTGTGTGGCCACCAGAATCCCTCTCTCAAATTCTATCCACCCAACTGAAGCAGGGAAGCCCTAATCCTGTCGCAAACTCTTTCCGATCAAGTCGCCCACGCCGATTATAAAATGTACACATTTGTTGATATGTATAATTTCTATTGATATGTTTTGTTTGTGTGTCCGTATATGGCCGGCTTTGTGACTGTTTTCATCTATTTTGGAGAATTTTACTGGATATTTACCTTCTTAATGTGTCTTATATGTGAATAGTTGTAAGAATCTTAATTTCTCACAAATTATATGTTCTCACAAATGGCTACCAACCTCCATGGATTTTGTCATATTCTATTTGTTTTTATTAACTTTGTAAGATCAAAAGGATACAAAAAATTATTTTGTGCACAGGTCACTGTTTAGGCAATCGAGAACAAGAAAAAATTTAATGTCAAGATGTGGGGATTGTGAAAAATTGATGAAAAAGTTAAAAGTCATTACAGTCTTCTGCCTTCATATGCATTGTAAATGTTTTAGCCTGTCAATAGCCATTTTCTGCGAGATTAGCTTGAGCTGGACTATAGATTGACATTCTCAGTTGTTCAGTGTTGATTCTTCCTCAGTTACTTGATGTGTGTGTCCAGCAAGTCTTCCTCAATTACTTGTATTGCCGAAAAATGCATAAGGGTATTTTTTTTTTAGCCTACTATAATATCTCATCATTGATGATATTACTTAGGCTATTCATATTAATAATTTCACAAAATTGGTCCATAGACTGATGATGCTTGTACTTAAAGAGAACATGAAAACTCACAGCCAATATGTTATCAATTTCATTTTGTATCCTCCAGTTCAAGCAATCAATTAGAACATGAAAACGCACAGCCAATATGTTATCAATAGGTTTAATCTCAAAGATCTTATTGCAGGTATAAATTTCATATTTTCTTATTTGTGATTTCAGATCTTCAATTTCTAGACTTTGTTTGAGAAATCACATTTTCTTGTCTGTTGAATTCTATGTATGTACAGGTGAATTAAATATATGGCAGCGGTTTCAGTTCATCAGCTCGCTCAGTGCATTACTTGACATGCTTGGAGTCCATACCATTCTAGTACGTCTTTAATTCTGAAAAACCCCTCTTTTGAATTCACAGTTTATGAATTTGATTTGATTTTATGATATACAAATCAATTAATGATAATTCGTTTATGTTCAAATCGTAGTGATAGCATTATGCCCAAATAACAACGAAGTGCATATATATAGATTATCCGAAGACGACAAATGGGAGAAGATCCACGTTCTTCAGAAGGTAACTTGAAATTGAGTTTTTAATATCTTTGCTTGTACAGTTGTACGCAATTGTGATTTCCCTATATGGGCTTCAATTTTAACAGTTTTATGGCGATGCATCAGTCAGTAATCAGAACTTTAGAAAATCAATAATCTTTCTATTTCGATTCACCAGGAGCAGTTTTGAAAATATATAGAGCTTGATGATGGTGTATTTAGATTTTTAGCATGTAAGATATATATCTTGTCGCCTTGATGACACTAGAGAGAATGGGAAGAAGTGGGCTTATCAGAGGATAAATATATACATAGTATTTTGATTAAATGGGGGCAATAGTAAAATGTGATAAAGAAGATGCTTTGCAAATTATTTTGTTTTGTCTTTTTTGTGTATGTGCGCTATTTTTTGAATTAGTAACAATTCATGATGCTAGCCATGATGTGAAATTTATCAGAAAGAATTTTGACTTTCATTTTATGTTCTAGTGTTTTCGTAGTAGATGTTATATTGAACTTAGTAATATTTGAGCGAGTTGTCTTACTTGTCTTTAGTGAGAAAGCTTTTCTGATTATCGCTTTGTTTCTTTCTTTTCTTTCCCTTGTCACATCATGACCAAATTGTTTTTGGAGTAGATTGCTTGAAGTATGATTGGTAAAAAGAATACATGAAATCCATCAGAACTATGATGGAAAAAAGTCAGCTTTCTCATAAAACCATTTTTTTTTTTGAGTATTTTTTCGATCTTTGGATCTGGGAAGCACTAATATGTTGCTAATTGTCATTGCAGCTGATGAACCACTAAAGACGACTTTCCAGGTTCGGCATCGTTGCTGATCTGTTTTGTACAAATTGATTTTCTTGAAGTTAAATTGATTTGGGCTCTGCTTACTTATTTTGTTTGTTAATTCATTTGTTTAGTGTCTAAATTTCGGGAATTTGGATATTGGGATAGTCAATGTCAAGTAAAAGAAATTACCTTTTAACTCAGATTTGAGTTTCTTGGAGAATGTTACAAAAAAACTCATAAATTATTTCTTGTTTAGACAGGTCGAATATTAACTGATGTACAAATTTGGACATGGTGTGTGTTGGGAGGGGGGTATACTTGAGTTTCTGAGAGATTCAAAGTTGGAGTTCTGATGCAAATGCGATCTTCAAGTTTTCATTTGATTTGGATTGGTTTTATTCCATGATTCGCTTTTATACAAGAATTTGGTATCATTGAGTGTATAGGTGGAGTTCTAATGTGATCTTCTTTTGTATACATTGAGGCTTGCATTTTTTAGTTTGGTTATTTTTTGCAATTTTTGTGCTTTGAGGCAGATTATTTGTCTCTGGTTATAACTGTATCTATTTTATTACCATTCTATTCAATCAATCTAATTTCTATTCCTTAAACAGTCTTCCTTAGCTTTACAGCAACCTATATTAATATACAAATTAGAAAAATCGAGAGATTCTTTCAAGAAAACTAGTTTTGTAACCATTTTAGAAAATAGAAGGTGATTGATTCTCATATTGCTGGAAAGAACAATACTAGTGCATTACCACACAAAATCAAGCTATTATTCGTTTATTTCCCACATCTACTGGTTTTGGAAGATGAAGATTCTTTTCGTTAGGAAACCTGCAAGTATTACACGGACAAATTTTCTGTTCGAATTTTATAAATTGAAATGTATAAACTGTTACATTTTGTCCTGGTTTTCAGAATATACATCAAGGGTAACCCACTGAGAATTTGGTGAGATTTCTGAAAGCAAGGGATGGGAATGTCTCCAATGCGTATAAAATGGTACGACACATTCTATTTTAAGAAAATCCCAAAGAGTATCTGACTTGAATCAAGTTTATCGATTTCAAGTATTCTTACCAATCATACTTCATGTTTCAAATGATTGATTTCTTGAACTGGAGGATACAAAATGAAATTGATAACATATTGGCTGTGAGTTTTCATGTTCTCTTTAAGTACAAGCATCATCAGTCTATAGACCAATTTTAGTCTTGACCAATGCATTCATAAAAATCTGTTACATATTCTACGCCTTCAGTCAGTTTATGTTTTGTCCAGCCTTTAACTTATTTCAATAGATAACTAAATCTCTATTATATTATCTGAACTTAGATTCATACTCGATCTGAGTTTTCTGAGGACAAGCTTCTCTGTGGCGATCATGAAGATTGAATTTACCCATTGCATTCAAAAGAGAGGTGCAGGCCAAGAAGAAAGTAACGGGAAGGATATTTTAGAGCTAGCCAACCCAACGATTTGAAGACAACAAGTTGTAAATTATCTTCTTTTATACAATAATTTTCTGTTGTTTAAGAGGAGTGTAAGATGATGTTTATTTGATGGGCAATATGTAAAACAAAATTTTTTTCCGATTTATTACAATGATGTGTTTTGACTATTTGGTATGGATGAATAAAATTATATCAATTAAAGGCCCAAAAAGTCTTTTTCATTTTGTGGTTGATTTGATAAATTGTTATACAAATAGGGAAAAAAAATTGTAAACGAACTACAGCAACGTTCATTGAACGTTGTCAAAAGCTTCATTTGCAATGTGCATTTCACGTTGCTGAAAGACTGTTTTGGCAACGTTTATTGCACGTTGCCAAAACTCAATTTCCGCAACATGTATTGAACGTTGCCAAAAGGGTGTTTTGGCAACGTTCATTACACGTTGCCAAAACCCAGTTTTCGCAACGTGTAATGAACGTTACCAAAATATATTTTGGCAACATTCAATGCATGTTGCCAAAACCAAGTTTCCGCAATGCGCAACGAACGTTGCCAAAACTCTTCGCTCTACGGCAACGTTGAAACCCACAACAGAAGCCTGAACGTTGCGATAGGTCTACGGCAACGTTTTTTGCCCGTTGCAAAAAGTGATTTTTGGTGTAGTGGGATTTTTCAAGATAATGAAGATGAGCTTCAAATTGATGTGTTCTTTATGAACTTCATAAGAGGAAATAGGAGTTTCACAAGCACAGACTGCTCAAGATATGTCTTTGTAGTTGTCGAAAATTCCTTCAAAAATTTTAAAGATAAGATTTTCTTTATGAATACGAGAATATATTAGGGCAAGTTAACAACTTTGTTTTTAACAAATTGAAAGACACTACAACAAAATATACTTTTTACGGCGTGCATTGCAGCCGTAAAAGCCAATATACGGCATGCGGCCGCACGCCGTATAAAGAAATGTCGTAAAAAGTGTCCACTTTTTACGGCGTGCAATGTACGCTGTCTATGAACGTGTCGAACGCTTTAAAACAATTTTTACGATGTTCTCTTGTACGCTGTAAAAGATCACTTTTTTACGGCGTGCAATTGAATGCCGTAAATTCTTATTTAAGTTTTTCATAGCGTTCTAGTTCATGCCGTAAAAGGTCGAATTTTTTTTTATGTCGTGCAAGTGCACGCCGTAAACTTTAATATTTTTTTTTAAAAATTTGTTCATTTATTTGATTACCAACACACCTATAGTAATTACAAAACAGAAATCCATATATATAACCAGATTTTGCATAGATTCGATAAACATAATTATTGAGTACAGTTTAATACAATATATCAATGTAAAATTCATCTCAACTCTTCTCAAAAATAAAAAAATAAAAAAAATGATCAAAATGTTATAAAATATTAGATCCATATCAAAGTCTACTTCTTTGACCAACAATTTAGCTATTCAACAAAATATCAACTCCCTGCATTCCACAAAAATAATAAAGATATAATCAATAAACTTAGAGTGAGCAAAAATTGTATAAATGCTAACTAAAGGAAAAGTCACGGAACAGATCAAGAAAATAGAAAACGAACCTTCTGAAGGTTGGTTACAATATCCATCGTAAGCTCTGAATCTGCCGGTTCTTGATAATCAATTTTAGCTCCTTGAACACCATTTGAGATAGCAGTGTTCATGTTCTTATCAACATAAAGAAATTCCCAGAAAATTAACATTAATCCCTAATGATATCTGACAACAATGTAAGTGAAATCGCATACGTTTCCTCTCTTCTTTCCTAATATATATTCTGCAGGCATTATGGACTCAATATTAGATGCCAAACTGAAAGTGTACTTTTATGGTACCTATTAGGACGCCGAGTTCTTACCATAATAATATGACGACAATATTGTAATGCGCTCAGTTGGCTAGAAAAAAAACAAAGGAAGTAAACTTTTAGCAGAAAACAAACATCAAAAAGGAATAGGAAACTGTATTAATGAGTAATTAACAACTTTGATTAAAGAAAAATAACTATCAAAATTTAACTCAAAATTTCAGAAGCATAAATTTGTTGGAACCGAACTAAGAATAACATCTAAAATCAGCATTCAGAAAATCTCCTAAAGCACTTGGCAAATCTTGCATTAAACATTGATGTTTAAAATTGAACGGATTATAGAAAGAATTATTTATCACAGTTGATAAGCTACTCCAGAGCAACAAGAGCACATTAATGAATAAGCCATATCATTGAGGATAGGCAACAAATGCAGCTTTAGTAGTTTCCTATTTTCCAATTATGTTCCTAACATTATAACTGGAAGCAAGCTATCAATTGTTAAGCAATTCAGAAGGGGTAGAAACACAGTTGAAGGCAGTCTATGCCTCTATTCAACATGACTCTAATATACATGTTGAGAAGCAGGAACAAATACTTAATTAAAGCACGTTCAAATCAAATTTAAAAATGTGAGGATGATAAAATATACCATTACGAAGATTCTTTCCTTCCAGTTAGGGAGTTGCTTAAGCTTCCTCAAAGTTTCATCATCTTTTGTAACTTAACTAAATATAGCAGACTGAAGAGCATTCAGTAAGTTATATGCCATATTTGATATAATCCATCAGGAATACACAAAAACAAAATAAATTTTTCCAGCATACCTGGCCATCAAGGTGAGGGGCATCTCCAAGGAGTATTGAGAAGGAGGATGCTCCACTATTTGGGTCAGAATATCTACGACAAAGCACAACAAACTTGAATTTTTCTCTTAGAATTCAACAAATAAATCGCAATCAATGATATTACATTCCACAAACAAACCAATCACGTTATCCACCGAATCCCCACATTTTGCAAAACCATTGAGCATTACATTCCACAAAACACTATTCCAATGAGGCAATTTATCAAACAAACGATGTGCAGTTTCTATACAGTCATTATCTGCATAGAACTTGACTAGAGCACTACCAACGTACACATCCATTTCAAACCCTAAATCTTTAATCAAGCCATGTATATACATCCCCAGCTTAATAGAACGCAAGCCTCCACAAGCCTTAATTACATAAGGAAAAGTATACTTGTCGGGCCAAGTACCAAAATCCAACATCTTAAAATCAAATAAAATTGCAAAACCAAAATAACCCGCCATGGTAAAACATCTAATCATCCAATTCCAAGGAGCAGTAGAGCATAAATTAAGCTGATAAAACAATTCCTTGGCATCAAAATACTTGTTACACAAAACGTACATACCCAAAATTCTTGTGCCCAGAATGCCTACTTTCTGGAGTCCATTTACGATAGTCTATGCATGAATCTGCCACGCTTGATGAAACACAGAAGGAGAAAGAGAAGGGTCTTTTTGTAGAACCGATGCAATTTTGGATGCTAAAACCTCAAAGTGAACGGAGAATGAAAAGGGTGTTTCGATTGGGTTGTATGGATAAAATTGGACTTGCAATTAAAAGCAGTAATAACTTGTGAAAAAATTCCCAGAACTGAAGATAGAGAGAGACGTGAGTGAGGGTTGAGGCGCCATTGGTTGGCGGTGGAAGTCGAAGAGAGACGAGAGTGAGCTAAGGCGCCAGTGGTCAACGGTGGAAGGCGGAGAGAGACAAGAGTGAGAGTTGAAGCGCTGGGGGAATCGTGGAAAGGCAGAGTCCATGGGAAAAACGAAATGGGAGAAATGGGGTGTTGTAGGGCTTTGTAATGAATATTTTGAAAATACACGGCGTGCACTAAAAGCACGCCGTGAATGCTCTAATTAATTGATTATTTACGGCGTGCAAAGGGTGCACGCCGTAAAAACTCTAAGTAGTTGATTTTTTATGACATGCATACTTCGCATGCCTTAATTAGTTTATTGTTACGGCATGTCGTAAATGCACGCCGTAAATGTATGCCGTAAAAAGCTACTTTTGTTGTAGTGAAAATTCGGTCACGGATTGAATTCCTTTAGTAAGGTTTGATGGATGACTTTTTAATTACGTAATGCGATCACATAATGGTCTAACATATATTGTTGGTGAAGTGTTTTGAGAACAAATAATTGCACTGTGTAAAAATTGATCCCGACACTTCCAAAATGCAAAATCAAGGTTGGGAATAGTTTCTCCATCTAATTTTATTGTAGCTGGAGGACATGGAAAAGATCTATCAACAAAGCTGAGCGGATCGTATCCAACAAGGATAGTATTGAATTGAAGGTGTCGTGAAGAATAATTTATTTTGATGGGTTTGAGTCAAACTTGGGAAGAGATATTGATGGAGAAGAGAGAAGAAAATTGAGGAAAAAATACAGAAGGCTGAGGGAAGGGGCGTATGGTCAAAGAAAAAGAGCCGCCACCACCACAATAGAGGTGGTGGCGATAATGGCACCAAAGAAGGCAGCGGCTGTAGCAACGCTAATGGAGGAATTTGTTTGGTCAATCGAGGTTGTTAGGACATCATCAGTAATATTTTCCTTTTTGAATTGTGCTATGATATGATGTAATAAATAACATTGGAGCTAAAGTAATAGAGCAACCTCAGTTGATGGTATTTACAATATTATGTGTGAATCGTCCTAATGCCATGTAATCACATAGTAAGAGCAATCTTGCTAGACTTATATATAGAATAAATCTACTACAATTAATTAAACGGAAAAGTATTTGCCTTAAGGAGAAATCCTAGAACTCTGTTCGTTTTCTAGGTTAGAAAGTCAACATTTAAAAATAAGTTTCAAGAGACTTTCTATTTTAAACTTTTTAAGATAGAGAGTGAGTTTGACCGTCTAAACTTTAAAAAGTCAAATTCACTATCTATTCTTAATGTACAATAATTGTATTTAATAAATTATAAATTTCAATAATCTATAATTTAAATTATTCAAATCAATTTGAATTGGTTGATTATTAACATATAAAAAAAAATTGTGTTAAATAAGAGATGAAGAGAAATCAATAAATATTCATTGAGAAAAATAAAATAAAGAGTCAAAATAGAGGACTTGTTGAAATATAAAAAAAAAATTACTCTCTAAATTTAAATATGCTATCAATTTTATAAGATACTCTTTATAAACAGAAAATTTCTTGAAGATACTCTTAAACTAGAACAATTTAAATGTAAATAATCGATCGTTAAGATACTAATCTCGTTAATTTATATTTAAACTTTATGGATACATCTTATTTTCAAGTTTTGCTCTTCGATGAAATGTGAAGTGTATTAAGAACTTTTGAGAAAGCACGTTAGTTCGTAAATTGCCCAAAAACATGTCATAATCACATATATCATCATGGCATAGTCCTTGACTTCAATATGGGGTAATGCATGCGCCCGACCGGGGTGGACCAAAATGAGGGACATCCCATCTTAATTGACACGACCCTTTATTAAAAGGGAAAAAATCACATCTCAGGAGTTATGTTTACTCCTATTCAAAAATCAAGTAAATAGTTTGAAAAATAAAAAATCAAGTATGCATTTAATTAATTAAAAATATTTATTAAATAAAGATAATAAAGTCACAGTTATATGATATATAGTCACATATTTATTTACTAATCACATATCGTCAAATTAATTAGTCACAAGTTATTTCTTGATCAAAAATCAAAAATTTTGTAGGTCACATATTATTTCGAAGTTACAGATCATTCAAATTACATGGGTCACATAAGTTACAATTTATTATTCACAAATTATTTTTTAGTCAGACACCTAATATTTAGTCACAAATCAGCTAAATAGTTGATCACAGATACCTAAATAGTTGTCACGGACACGTAATTATTGGTCACAGATACTCTACCCGTTACCGTCATCACCACCACAACAACCACCATCACCACCATCGTACTACGCACCACCCATAGCACACCACCACCACCACTACCATCGCACAACGCACCATTATCTCCATTTACACCACACCTAACCACCACCCCATCAAAGAATTCACAAACCCGCCACCACCACCTCAAAAACGCAACAAAACATGCCAAAAAATCACACCACTACCACCAAATTCAACAACCGCCATAGCCTATTCATTTCACCACCGCAGCTTACCGGAGTGGGTAGATCTACATCGCAAGGAAGATATGGACAGGAAGATGAAGAGAAGATAGAGAGTTAGAGTGAGAATAGATTATTACAGTTTAAAAATGGCCTGAATTCTGATGGTCACGTGTTGACACTCGGAGTTGGAGGTGTCTCCGGTGGCGGTCGCTCCTTGACGGCGATGATAGTCGAAGGACAAGGTAGAGAGATAGAGAGAGATACGGGATATGATAAGGGAAAATTTTGGGGGGAAATGATTAGGGTTTTAATTGAATTGGATTGGTTAATTATATCTAATACCATATTTTTGCATAAGTAAATTTCATCCCCTAATTTTGAATTTGAAAGTTTTAATACCTGGCTTTATGTAATTTCCTTTTTTTTAAAAGTACAATGCTTTTTTTTTTTAAATCCATTTATTGATGGGTTATTATTTAGCCACTGATCTCCATTAAAATTTTAATACATTTTTTATTCGTTTCAACCACACATTTTTAAATAAAATAATATTACATATAAATCTAAAATCTTTCATTCTTTTTTAACTACACATTTTTCAAAAAAAATATTATTTTAAAATACATTTTTCCTTAAAAGCAAATTTTAATGAAGCTCAATATGGGCTTATTATCTTATAATGAAAAAACCAAAATATTCATTAATTTAAGTGAGTAATGGGAAGTTACCAAATACTAGTTTTCTCATATTTGAGGGGTGGTGTTGAATGAATGAAGATTAGATTAGATAAACGAAAAGAGGAGATTGGACTTAAATAAATAAATAAATAAGAAAAAGGGAAAGTTAAGATGAAATAAATAGAAAAGGGCAGTTAAATTTCAGTTTCTTGGCAAACAAAGTATATGTTATCATTTCAAAAAAGTTTAAAACGTGAAACAATTAAAAAACTAATATAACATTAACATAATATTGGATGCAGTGGCAAAGCAAGCACTCGACGAATTCCTGTGATCGTCCGTACTAGTTATATTGGAAAATTTTATTTTTCCTTATATTGGGTAACCAATCGAGTGACTATTCGTGCTCAACTGAATTCGTCCGTATTCACTTGAATTCCTAGATCCGTCACTAATTGAATGAAATATTAGCTAAAGACATGTTATACTAGTGCATTTATGACATCATGACATATAAAATATCAATTTTGATTTGCCTATAAAAATGAAAATTGTGATTTATCTAAAAAAGTTTACACTTTCATCTTGGTGACATGATCATAACCATGAGAGGTGTGGTCCATTTTTATTTTATTTTTTTAAATTTTTTTAATACTTAATTTCAATTTAGGAATGAAAATATTTGGTGTGGGGTGGGAGCCTGACGGAGAAAATTTAGGGAGTATATTACCAAAAGCGTGTTGTGGACTAAACGAGTGTTCCGATTAAACTTTAACAAGAAACGTGATAAACACACAAGTATCGTCATTGGCTTTTAATTGTCAACGCCCCTTCTTATCAAACAAATCCAACCGGTGCGAAAGTGGGACCCGCAACAAAATCAAATGACAGAAATACCCCCAAGTTACACACTTTTCCTTAAAGGAGAAAGAAAACTGCATTTGTGATCCTCTAACTTATACAATATAGCGTATAGAGAAAATGATCTAATGCTTATTGATGTTCATCTTATATTAAGTATCGATGATATGATATATTAATTAATTTATAGATAAATTTAGTACTTGTTTGGTAGAGATTTCGATAATTAATTTTTTGACCGTTAGAGATAAAGTCCTATAAGAGAAAAATTAAAAAATGACGACTAAAATAGTAAAATAACGATAAAAAAATTGATTTTAATTGACTTAAGATTTAAACCAAACAAGCTCTTATAATGAATCTTAACATTTTAATTAAAATTTGTTATTCATGAATTGACATGATATATCATCGACTCAACATAATATAAGTATCGGTGCTCATTAAATTATTTCAAAATTAGATCCCAACCTTCATATTTGCCTAACTTTCTACACTCGCCCACCCCCAAGCTGCTCCAAAATCCCTCAAAAAGGAAATTATCATAGCATAAGAACAATGTTGCCTCCACGACAAAAAACAATGCAACAATTACTATATTAATATCATAATATGACACAACAATCAATTGAAAAATGATAAAATTAGTTTACTTGAAGCAAACCGCAAACAACAACTAGATATAGTGTAAGAGTAGCGTTGCCACCAATAAATTGCCGCCGTCAATAACAAAATGTGATAATGACAATATCGACGAGTTGATAGTTGATCACCAAAAAAGTTTGCAACAGAAGTTGAAATCTAATCCACTTAATGTCGACAGTGCGCAATAGCCAGATCTAGATAGCTCTGATGCCAAAAAAAAATTAAAATAAATACATAAAAATGTGTTGAGGACCTACTTGCACTAGTTCGTATAGATCGGAAACCCAAAAGTAATATTTCTCTAAAGAAAGGCATTCTCGACCTTTGAATGTAGTCATACTGCCCCCGCAGCGGCCACCAATTGATGTAAAACAATAAAGACATTCGCATGAATTTAAAGCTATGTCTCAGCAATTAATATATTTGCAACAGCTAGAAATGCCCGGCATTAATTAATTTGTTTTCTTCAAAAGAATTTTCATCTGGAATGATTCGCTGAATTTCTCTCTCTATCTCTACAATTTCTGTTTAACTCCTTTTTGTACAAAATATACATATATACATACAGAACTGAAGAACAGTATACGTTTGTGAAGGGGCATTAGTTCTTAAGTTATCTGCGTACAGGGAAGATGGTGATGAGTTGGAGGAGAGTTTTCAAGTCCCTGCAAGCGGTGGTGGCTCATGGGCTGCTTTTCTCTTTCACTTTGTTTCTTGGCCTCAAGCTTTGTCGTGCTGTTAACTACTCTTGGTGGTTTGTATTTCGTTTCTTCTTTTTTGGCCTTTTTTGGGTTTGGTTTGGTATAAATGAAAATTTGAGAAATTACGTTAATTTAATGAATATGGTTTTAAATGTTACTCAATTTGAGTAAGAAGATGTGGGGTTTCTTAAAATTGGGTCAATTTTTTTCCATTTGGTAAAGTTTTGTTCTTTTCGGGGTTATTTATTTATTTATTTTTTCAAACTTTTAAATTTTCTTTCAAAATTAATTGATTGTGATGTCTTTTATACCTGATATATGTAGGTGTTTGGAATTCGGGATGGTATTGCTGGATTATGGGTTAGGATTATTAGATTATGACGGATACTTTTGAAGTTGTGTATTTGATTTTAATTTCAATATACTGATATGCTTTTACTAATAATATTCTGCTTTGCCTCGTGTATCTATATGCGATAGATGATATTTCTGTATCAATAAAAGTTGAAGGTCTTTTGACAATTGACCTACTACATTTGCAAAGTAAAAAGTTATAGGAAATTAGCATGAAGGAAAACTGAGTTGATTAGTATAGTTAGCTGTGTATTTTTCACTTTATGTCATTACTATATAGCTGACAAGAACTTGTTACACGTGGCACTGTATTGGCATGATGATTAGCAACCGCCTTATTTTGTTTGTATTTAACCACGGAGCGTGTATGCTCAGCTCTCACCCTCGTGGCCTCGTGCCACGCGCGAAGCTGAGGCGGGAAAAGCATAACACAGCGGTTGTTATTTAACCGCCATATCTTTTTTCCTCGGTTTTCATGTGTTTGCTCTCCTGTGTTGAGTGCTAGGGGTTCATCTTCTTGCTACTTTGTTTTCAGCCTAGTGCTGTTATTATTCGATTGGATTGTTGTTTAGTCCTATGAACTGCTATGTACTATCATTGTTTCTGAATATTCACAGAGGAACATTGAATAGTCCAAGTTTTAAAGGGCAAGAAAGAGCATATAGACTATTCCTTTCTTTAGCACGCTTTTTGGTTTCCCTAGGATGATGTAGTGATGTTAGTTGTCAATAAAAATTAACTATTGATATACTCTCATTATACTGCCTATTAAAGATAGAGTATGCATTTTATCGTAATAAGAGAAAATGGGATCAAAAGAGCATTTGTGAATGCTTAAATGATCAAAAAATATTGGATGGGTATTTTGAGAAGTGATTCATATGCTAGATATGTTTTATTGCCATGCAGATAAGGAACTTTTGCTTGGTATGATTTCTCAGTTTATAGACCACAGATACATCTTAAGTTATTCTTATCAACTGCAACTGACTCAAAGTTGTAGGCAAAAAATCAGGAATTGTTTGTCCAATGTGTTAATTTACAGGCATCAGTTCCATTTGGATTCGCTCTTATATGGTTGGCATGCTATAAGTGTTGTAGATGGAAATTGATGGGCTGTTTCGATATAATATCCACTGCAGTACATTATGCTATTTGAACTCTGAAAAATCAAATTTCAACATATTAAGACATTCAAAGCTATTGTCTAGTTTTGAATCATAATATGCTATGTTTCAACATAATTTTTAGCTCGAATGGTATATGACCCTTATATAAGTTGAAAAGATAGAACGCATATGTTGGAATAAACTACTTTCTCCTTAATTCCTGTTTGACGTGCTATTCTTTTTTATTTGTGCATCTATGTACGATGAAAAACAGGTTTTTTTTTTTATCGCGAGATACTACTCTTTGTCTAGTTCGTTTAAAAATTTTCACCTCATCATCTTACAAGTTTCATAGTTATGAAGATATAACATCTCAAAGCTTGTCCATCAACATATCTCGTTCGACCCTACTAACTTTCATATGCTCAATCTTCTTTTCACAGCCATAAACATGTGTCATCATCCTCGCTTGGGTTGATGCATCATTTGCTTTATTTTTTGTAGGTTGATATTTTCTCCTCTCTGGTTATTTCATGCAGTTGTGGCAAGGGGTAGATTCTCCTTGCCTGCTCCATCAATGCCTCATGGTCGCCACGTATGATAATCCATAACCTCTTATTTATAAAATATAATATAACTAATTCACAAGACAGTTAATTTTATTTTTATTTATTTGTTTTGTCTAACATGATAAATTTTCGTAAGGTATTATTGTAAGAGTAACTTGCACTCTTCCATGAACAGTGGGCACCATTTCATTCCATCGTGGGTACTCCTTTGCTCGTTGCTTTTGAACTACTCCTTTGTGTGCATCTTGAGAGAAGATACGGTAAACATCCTAACGCCTTCTGCATGATGATCTCTTAAAGGATCAACAGATTTCTGTTCAATTAGTCTTTCTTACCTCACTATATCCCTCCCTTAACATTCTTTGGTCTGTCATTATTAACATTTTTAGTTATTTAATGTGATAAATGGCAGATGTAAATTTGAGGATAGTATTTCTGCCTTTGCTGGCATTAGAAGCAACAATTTTGGTTGATAACGTTAGGTAAGATTACTTGTCTGCATAAGAAGTTGATTATCCATTCTGATCCCCAACGTATATTGAAGCTCTTCTGAATAAGAGAACATCATTCAACTATCCAATACTTTGACTGTGATGACAAGTTGTTAAATTGTGTTTTTCTGCTGATTAAGGATGTGTAAGGCGCTTATGCCTGGAGAGGAAGAATGCGTCAGCGATGAGGCTATATGGGAGAGTCTTCCGGTAAGTTTCTTTCATTCTTCCTTCCTTTTAGTTTCTAGTGTATCATTCCTTTGAAGAGTTTTCTTCAAACTTTGTACCTATATCCAAAAAAAAAAAAAAAAGGTTTTCTTCAGACTTTGAAGATGATAATTTTTTTGAGTTCTTTTAAGTTGATTGCTTGGTCAGAACTCACAAATACCGATGTGGTGGAAAGAAAAATGTGATGAGCTAGCTAACCTTGTTGTTCACTTTGACAAGATAAAGAGCATGTTAGGCAGATAAGAGGCGAATAAACTGAACATATTTGGCAAATATTTGTTGGCCCCAAAGCATATAAAACACCTGTATTCCCCAAACCTGCTCGAAACTGTCAGATGACCTGCATATAAAGCACTAAATGTTCATATTCTCTCTTTGATATAAACAAGAAGCTCGGCCCCATGATTTTCCTTTTCATAATCATGTTATCTAGAGTTCAAAATCTCCCTCCTTCACACTCACACTTGTTGAATCATGTTAGATCAAGAAATTTATTTATAGATCATGCATTCAGTATTAATATACAGTCAATTTAAAAACAATTCTGTCTGTTCAATTGTTTGTAACTTTCTAGTGATGCGTATAAAGGAAGATACAAGGAATTTATAATGGACAGTGAAGCTCAAACTCACAAATTCTGTGTTGCTTCATTCTCTCTCTCTCTCTCTCTCTCTCTCTCTCTCTCTTAATTCTTCTTCTACATGCTTAGATGCTCAACAACATAGTTTTTCACATTCCCTTTCTCTCTCATCGTGTCTTTCTTTCAGATCTTTGCTTGTGCATCTTGGCTTAGAATAAAACAGCAGAAATTGTGAAGCATGGAGTAGAAAATATATTTCGCAAATAATCTTCCTTCAGTTTCTAAATGATCTGGTGGAGATATGATTATTAAGGAATCAATGTCTTGGTCAGTCAGCTAGGATAAGAGGCTGACTTACTGCTTTTCAAAGAAAAGTGTGATATTGACCAATGCAATTATCAGTATTGATATATGCAACAAATTCTATGTGCATACTTTTTGTTTTGTGCTGACATGTAATCACATTTCGTTATGCTTGATTACCTGAATTTATCAATTTATGTTTCAGCACTTTTGGGTTGCAATCTCTATGGTCTTCTTCATTGCTGCTACAACATTTACACTTCTGAAGCTAAGCGGTAAATTCAACTTGTAACCATCTTGAGACTTCTCAGTATATATTTGATTCTGTTAAATTTAAGCCAATTAACAAGCATCAAATTAATATAATCATTGTTTATAGTTGGCAAGATGGCAAGGAATTGAAATAATAAAGATATGAACAACCAAAGGAAGGAAAGCACAAAATGATTTTGCCCCCTTTTGGTCCCCATTAAATTCAATTTCATCCTATTTTCAGTCACATAATCTTCCATAAAATAATATTACACGTAAATCAAAAAATTTTCCCTTTTTCTAAACAACTCATTTTTCAAAAAAATACTATTCCACCCATTTTCATTTCAAAGATTGGGGGGCCAAACGGGGCCTTTATGTGCTTGGGTGAAGTGGAGTGTGTTCTTATTTTTTAAAGAGTTGAGTTGATAATCGAGCATTAAAGGGGTTTAACATGTAAACATTTTGTGGGATCCTCGATAAACACATTTCAATAAAGGAAATCTAATTAAAGCAAAACTTAAGAAAATAAATCCTTGTCTCATCATCTTAAGAAATAAAAAAGATCTTTAGGTGAATTATGTGATGCCAATATTCAATCCACAAAACTGGCATATCAACGTTATATATAGGAATTCGCTTAATGACGCTAACCTACTTTGTTTGTCTATCCAAGGCTTCCCTACCTGAGGACTTTACATAATCCACTATCCTTTTCGATCGTTAAAACCTACGTATATCTTTTGACCAGCTGAGGTCTAGACCATCAATATAATTCTTTGTTACCAATGAAGAATAATAAGAAATGTTTGGCTCTCTACTTCAAATTGACTATCCCCTTTCAGTCATAAAGTGGATAAAGAATTATGAACATCTCTACTTAGGATGTATGACATATGAACGCTCTCTGTTCCAGAATATATATAGAAATTCAAGTTAATAAGGGTTTTTGGATGTCAAATATGAATCTCAGATGTCTCTCTTCAATTGATTTTCCACTTATCACTTAGATCTCTTGTTCCTTTACTGCACATATGATCATAAGAAGAAATATGATTTCCATCCACCATTCGTTGTTGACCTTTCATGTCCAAACTTAGCCCTCACCCGAACAAGCAACCTGGTGTAGACCGTAGGCCCCCCATTTTCAAAAGTTTCAACAATTCTGCACGTGTGCCATGCCCAAAAATTAGATTTCAACCAAATGAGCGTCACCACATGTTGCAAAATGAACAAGAAGCTCGTCCACCACATTTCCGCTGCAACCTCTGTATGAGAGATGATTTGCCCTGCTTCC